TCAACCAACACGCGTCTCCCATGCTGCCGCAGCTGCTCGGCCCCATCAGTGGTATTGTCCAGGGGTGAAGCGGCGTAAATGGCCCAGCGGATCGTAACGATACCAAACGGGAGCCCGTGTACCAGCGTGCGCGGCCTGGTGCCGTGATCAAAACGCACGCCGCTGAAGTTTGCGCCAGCAGTCCACGTCTCGTTGTCTGCCGTCTGGAGCGACACCATCTCCCACTGCCCCACAAACTGGCACTCAATCTCCCGCGGGATAGGCACCGCCTTCAGCACCACAGAGTCGCCGCATACCGTTAGCTCCTTCTCAATGACTCGTGCGTGCGTCACGTGCAGCGTTTCCACCACACTCACATTTGGGCAGATGTACGGGTGGGCCGGGTCGGGGTGGTAGAGCGCGATTGTGTACAGCCCGGGCACGCGGATGCCGGTCACCATCGCCGTGACACCACCAGTGCCGCGCGCCAGCGCACGTGGGTGCTGCGCAAGCGGCAGGAAGTGAATGGAGTCGAGCAGAAGCTGTGTGCCTATGGAAGATGGTTCCGCCGTCACGACGCTGAGGGCGCGCCAGTAAGCGTTGCGCACATCGGTCACTGCAGCCCCTTCTGCCGAGGCGTCCACATGCAGAACGACGCTTTTCCCTACAACCCACCGCGTCGCTGGCCGTCGCCGCGGCCCCTGATCGCCACCACCACCATTAGTAGTAGTAGTAGTAGTAGCTTCTGCTGTCCGTCTACCACCTGCGGTGGCGTTTGTAACGCAGTTGCCAACGGCGGCATTGTCACTCAGAACCACGAACGCTGGCGACACCGCCGTCGGGTAGACGCGCCGCAGCAGGAACGTGTCGGACCGCTGCGTCTTTGTGAGTGTGTTGCGCACCGTCAGCGTGCAGCGCGTCTCGTTGGTCGCTCCGGTGTGGCGCAGCTCCGAGAGTGTCGGGGTACGCTTCACCACCGCCATGGCGGCGTCGCCGTCTTCGCCGCACGCCCACGTGAAGTCAAAGCGATACGCGGTGTGCAGGCGCGGGTGGCGCGAAAAGACGAAGGTGGCATCACAGAACGGAATGGCACCCGCCGCCGCCGCGCGCACCACGCCGCGTGGGCTGATGGCCAAGACCGAGACGTTGCCGGGCCGCGCAACGCACATGCCGCGCTGGGCGAAGGCCGCAGCGTCTCTGTTGGGCCCCACCGCTGCCGGCGCCAGTCGAACGGCGTACTGCAGTGGATAGTGCGAACTGTTGCAGAGCCCATCCAGCTGCAGTTGCCGAAGCACGGCGTGGTGCGTAAAGGCAAATCGTCCGTCGCATGCAGCGTCGATAGCGTAATCACGTTGATGCGCCTCGAGTGCCAACTGTCGCCCCCAGTTCGATGGGTCATCGGTGTCGTCGTTACTACTGCTGCTGCTGCTGCTGCTGCTGCT